CATCATCGTCTTCACTTACGGAATATCACTGATCTTGTAACTAGACTATGTCAAGTGGCATAGTAAAAATAGAATTAGTACAAACAATACGTATTGATAGGCATCATCAGTCGATCCGAACCTACCACATAATAAAATTTATTTAATCAAGAAACATGAAACTTAAATATAACTACAACATCACCCCGATGGACTCCTATATTCTATATCAAGTCGCATCACCTTCTTCTGGTGCCAACTCTACCATTAAACATTTGACCTCTTACCACTCTAAGGCTTCCCAAACCTACCTTCTATGCCATTCTAATATCAAATCATAACTCTGTTAGCCAACCTACTAATCTCACTTATGTTCTCATTACACCTTCATGGCTCTTGCCTTATTTTAGTAAACCACATATAAGAATTGTAACACTCCAAAAATCTCTAAGTTAAAACCTGAATCATTCTTCTTTTGCATGTAAGTTCGTACCGGGTGATTCTTAAATTGTGCTTAGGTTTTAAGGCCAATTATTTAGTGTGGGAATAAATTTGGAAACGAATTAAGGTCACAAGAATCCCCTAGCACAAAGTTGAGTTGAAAGCTTCCGTACCAATTAAGTTTTGATATAAGATTCTACTTGGGTCAACTTCAAATGATCGTGTCTTTTGGAATATAGAGTGTTAGGTGGTTCATAACCTATCAAATTAAAGGTATTTGAGTCTTATTTCCAGAGCCACCAAATTTGCGTCATTCAGAATTTGGAGTTGAGAGTTATGATCATTTTACTAATCCAATGCATGCAGTGATGTTTTGGCTGATGGAAAAACACTAAAAAGGATCCTTTTGTATTTTTATCCCGAAGAAAATCCTAAACGAATTTGTTGACTTCTACAAGACCCTAAACAATCAGATGTTCATCTTTTAATTCTACATTCTCTCCTCTCTCAATCCCAAGGCAAAATTCTAAGGAAAATAAAAGCATAAGACTTCCATACAAGATTCTTTCAAAAAAATTTCAAGATTCTTTCAAAAAAATTTCAAGATTCTTCTTCAAGATAAGTTATTCTCCAAAAATTTCATTCTTTCCAACTCAAATTCCTTCGTATAATTATGAATCACTAATAAGAACCCTAATTCTTGTCATAGGGCTTGCTCTTTTAATGTTAAAAATCATGCCTATAGAAATTGTTTGTTAAATCATATCTATCAAAATCTTTGTCATAGATTTAATCTTTAATTATGATTTAAGTGTGATTTTCATTGATTTTTTCTTAACTAAGAGAAAACGGTCTACTGTTAGTTTGTTAATAACTGAACATCGCTTAACTGTCTATTATCAATATATATTAAAAATCAATTATCTAATTTTAACATTATTTTTTATAAAAAAAAATTAACTATTAATATGTATTAAGTAATTTGCAGAACCTTTATATGAAATTTCATGGCTTGTTTAAATATAATCACCAATCATCATGTAATTAAATCAAGGCTATTGAATATGTTTTAACAAGACATTGCTATAGTAGATTTCATGCCTATAAGATAAAATAAGAAATTCATTGTCATTTCATACATCTACTGCACTATTTTCTATATTATCTAGACATCATGTTTATAGGATTACTCAATTAATTTAAAATGATTTTCATATAAGTTTGTCTCCATAAAAAAAATATTTATTAGTATATATATGTTGTCATTTAAAAATTATGTTTATAGAAAATTTAAATTTTAGTAGCAAATATCATCAAATAGACATCATGTCTATAAATTTTAATGTATTATGTAAAGCTAGTGTCCTAATAACTAAAATTGTCATAAATGCATTTTCTTTATTGCAACAAACCTAGTAATATCTAATAATTAAACTTTTTCTCTGTGTTAATTAAAATATCATCATATAGACATCATGCCTATAAATTTATGTATTAAGACCCTTATGCATACACATTAATTGCCATGACCTTCATACTTTGTATTTGTTATCAAACATGTTAATAACTAAATTATTAGACACCCATATGAGACTTTTTTTTCTAACTACTCTCAAGTTCTATTTATTTTGTTTGACGATGTGTCTAATTAAGAACCTTAGGATTTCTTTTAGTCTAGAACATATCCTATTAGTAAGTTCAATGTCTCTTGAATCTAGGAGGGGTAGAGGGTAGATAATCGAAAATGATGGAAGTTGGCCCGAGTAGAAAATGACAAATTTTGAATTTGTCTTCCGTTAATAAATCAGACACTGATCCGAATATGATAAATTTAGTTTTAGTTCAATTCATTTTTTCTTACCTTTTTATTATTGTTGTCTATTAATTATTTGAGGTAATTTTTATTAGTCTTATGTGATTTTTACATACCTTCCGTACTTCTTAGTGTGTGTTTGGTACGAAGGTTTTCCAATTTTTCCATGTTTGGTTGGCTTAAAAGTTTTGGAAAATATTTTCCAAATCAACTCATTTTTCTCAAATTTAAGGAAAATAACTTTTGTTCAAAAATTAAGGAAAACATTTTTCAAAACTATACTTCATCCTTAAATTACAATATTTTTTTCTTACCCTACCCGTACCCCTTACCAGATCCTCCCCCTCCAAAAAAAAAAAAAAAAAAAATTTAAATTTTCTTATTTTTTTAATTTCTAATATTTTTCTAACCCTACCCCCGGACTCAGTCCCCTACCCCCAAATCACCCCTAACCCCCCCCCCCCCCCACACACACACACACTAGCTCCCAACCCAGGGCCATCCACATCATTTTTTTTAAAAAAAGACTATTTTTGAAAAATATTTCATTTTTTTGAAAAAATCATTTTTTATGCCACCTTCTGCCCCCCCCCCCCCCCCTCCCCCTTCTCCAAAAAAATATTTTAAAAAAATATTTAAAATTTTCATTTTTTACGCTACCTCTACCCCCTTACCCACCACCTCCCGTCAATTTTAAAAAAAAAAAAAGTTATTTCCGAAGAATATTTTAAATTTTAAAATTTTCTTTTTTTAGGTCAAATAATTTATCAATGCACAATAATAGATATTCATTATTTGTTATCACATTGTTTAAATGTCGATAGTTAATACACATTCACATAGGCTCATTGTTTGTCTTCACAAATAAAACAGTAGTTACCCAAGGAAGACATTAGGTATAATGAACCCCTTGCTTATTAAGTCTTGTAATTGTTACTCTAACTCTGTTGGTGACATCCTATATGGTATGGTGAAATAGAAATGATCAGGCAAAATAACCTGACTGTCATCAAGTGTTTTAATTATTAATAAAATTAATTAATTGTAAATAAGTAAATTTTATAAAAGAAAAAGACCAAAATGCACTCAATTAGATGATATTCAATATTCACCAAACGATTTTCATTTTACAACCCTCCTTTCATGCAACTTCATTATTGAAAACAGAAACCATGCATATAACCATCATAAGAAATCAGTTTTAAAGGGAGAAAGTATGTGTCATGCAATATGTGATTTCCAGAGAAAACAAAATAATAAATTAGAATTAGAATAAAGAAACCTCCTCCTTTATCTATTTTATCTCTATATATCTTTTGATCCAAAAAGTGATTTTGATTTTCCAAAATAGAAAAAAAAAAATCATTTTGAATGGAGAAAATTAGAAAAGCATATGGGAAGCTTAAAGATTCAACAAAGGTTGGCTTAGCCAAGGTCAAAAGCGAATTCAAGGTTCGCAAATATATACATAAAAAAATATTTTATTTTCAGAACGTGCATAAAGCTATGCTAAATCAATGCCATGTATTTCTAGATGGATGATCTTTTAATTTCTTGTTTTCAATTGAAGGATTTAGATATTGCTATTGTTAAAGCAACAAATCATGTTGAGAGCCCTCCAAAAGAAAGACATATTGCAAGTGAGTTTATTGAAACATTCCTCTCCAAAGTTTTATTTATATATAATTCAAGATCTCTTGTTTATGTTCTTTTAATTTGCCAAATTCATATATTTGTGATCAACTATATATACACATCCAAAATGGGACTTACATTTGTAATATTGTTTGCCTATATAGTAATATTAATCTCTCTTTCTCCTATCATGGGCATATTAATTGTTTCTGGTTTACTATTCTAAATATCGGAGATAACAAAAATATGGTTATTTCTTAACATTTCAGGAATTATTGTGGCAACATCAATTACATGCCCAAGAGCAGATGTTGCCTATTGCATTCATGCACTTTCTAAACGATTGTCAAAGACACGAAATTGGATTGTAAGTTTTCTAAGCTGATTTACTTAACTAGTATTATTTATTGAATCGTAAACAATGATAACTATGCCTCGATCCCAAGCAATATGAGATCAACTTCATGAATATCCTCACTGATCATGTCGTCTCTATATCTAATCTCATTTTCATCCAATATTTTTCAGGTTGTCATAAAGACATTGATTGTTATTCATAGGGTGTTGCGAGAAGGTGATCCTTCATTCAAGGAGGAACTACTGCGTTGCTCTCAGAGAGGGCATATTTTTCAACTATCAAACTTCAAGGATGATTCAAGTCATCTTGGTAATCTTGTTGTCTGTCCTGTTTTCATGTTTATAAGTAGGGTGAAAAGTTGATATATAACCGGCATAAAACATAAATATGTCCTTAACTGCTTGACCTCGTCTGACATCTATATGCGCTCCAACTCTGGGTGTCCACAAGTAGGAACTTAAACTTGTACAGAGTTGAACCAGTAGACACACACGTTCTATATAGCAATTCACATCCTACATGGTGTCCTACATGTTTATGTCATGTAGGACTCATGTGTCTACTTGTTCAACTTTATAGGAGTTTTAAGTGTCTACTTGTACGCAACCAAAGTTGGAGGGCATAGACTCCAGCTGAGGCCAAGTTAAAGGCCTATACAACCACAATTTCAAGCTTACTCATAGTATTGTAATTGTATTGTGTTTTAAACACAGGTTGGGATTGCTCAGCTTGGGTACGTACATATGCGCTCTTTCTGGAGGAAAGACTAGAGTGTTTTAGGACAATGAAAAATGATATTGTTGCAGAAAGATCAACCAAACCTTCAGTTGGAATAAACAAGGTGCATTTTGTCAGTCATTTGCATATATATTCTCTTTTTCATGTAAGATACATAGTGAAAACAATGTACATAACCTGAGTTTCACATCAGGTGCATTGTAGAACTAGGCTTTTGAATGGAGAAGAACTTTTAGAGCAGCTCCCAGCATTACAACAACTTCTTTATCGCTTAACTGGTTGCCAGGTAGTAACAACCTTTGCTGTTATAGCCGCGATAAACTCATTGTTATTCCAATTCTCTGATCTCTGATGAATTTTGCAGCCTGAAGGAGGAGCTTGCTATAACTTTCTCATTCAGTATGCCTTGGCTTTGGTATAGAAATACTACTTTTACCAGCTCAAGAAATGGACCATGTCGGAAACTTGTTATTATGTTCATCAATCTTATGAACCTCTAATTGTTCTTTTTGTAGGTGTTGAAGGAAAATTTCAAGATCTATTGTGCAATCAATGATGGAATAATCAATCTTGTCGACTATGTATGATGTTCCTTGTCTCTTCGATATCTCTACCTCATTAACCATTGCTCTTTCTGAACTTAACTTGCTACTTCATGTTCCTGCAGTTTTTTGAGATGTCAAAGCCTGACGCTATAAAAGCTCTCAGTATATACAAAAGAGCTGGACAACAGGTTGATAAACTTCATTTCTTTTGGATGTTCTTACTTTTTACAGATATGATATAAGATATCTAAGTTTCTTCTTTTTTTTTCTCCACTTAATGTAGGCTGAACATCTCGCTCATTTTTATGACTTCTGCAGAGGCTTGGATGTAGCGCGTACCTTTCAGTTTCCTACATTGAAACAGGTCTTTTTCTCACCTTTTTGGATAATGTACAATCTTCACTTGATCTCTCTTCATTCTTGATCTTTAATTTGCAGCCTCCTGCATCGTTTCTGGTAACCATGGAGGAATACATTAGAGAAGCACCTCACACAGATTCAATGCCAAATAACAGGCTGGTGAGAACTTAGCTTTACCAATTTGGTCACATATATTTGAACTTTACCTTCACCAATTTGGTTATAGTGTTTGCCTTTGTTACCTGCAGGAGTATCGCGAAACCAAGCAGAAACCTGAAAAGCCTGAAGAAATTGTCCCTGAGGCACGTGAAAACAAAGTTCCAGAAGCTAAAATTAGTGAAGTAGAACATACTGAAGCACAAGAGGAAACAGTACCTAAAAAGGAAGAAACACCACCACTGATATCAACAGAAGAACCTGTTGATTTGCTGGTATGCATTTCGAATTCACTGGGGACAGATCAAATCTTTGTTCATGGCTCGTGTCGTGTGTAATAGTCTTGCTCAGAACATTGTTAATCTTTGTGGACAGGGCTTGAATGAAGTAGATCCAAGAGTTGCAGAATTAGAGGAAAGCAATGCATTGGCTCTTGCAATCGTTCCACCTGGTAATACACACAACTTGTCTAAAGCAAGAGGGTGATTCTATTATACAGACAATTTTGAGTTGATGAATTTGAAATATTATACAGGCAAAGAAAATCCATCAGCTAATAATCAAGTGAGTGAAACCGGAAAAACATCAGGATGGGAATTGGCTCTTGTTACAGAACCGAGTAACAATAGAAGCCAAATCACACCAGATAAAGAATTGGTATGTCCTCTTTATTCATAAACTCCCAGAACTATGTGCATTGATTTCATCGTTACTTTACCATGGTGTTTTTTATCAGGCTGGGGGATTCGACAAGCTATTACTTGACAGCTTGTATCAGGATGATGCATCTAGGAGGCAAATACAGTTGCAACAAGCAGGGTATAGTGCAGGATATGGGTATGGGTATGGGTATGAAATGCCTGGACAGAGTTCAGTCAATCACAATGACCCTTTTGCAATGTCAAACCACATAGCCCCTCCAACAAGCGTACAAATGATGCAACAACAATACATGATGCAGCAGCAGCAACGACCACAACAAAACATGTTGATGGTACATCATCAATATCAAGGCCAATATTCTCAACAAACGTGGTACATGGGATCTTCCAACCCATTCGGGGATCCCTTCAGTTATCCACAAAACAACATGCCACCACGGGGAAACCATCCATTGATTTAGAGGTCTTTTTTCAATAAGAATACCATATTCTTTCGTTCTTTTTGGCTACAAGAATTCTCATTCTCCTTCAAAAGTTGTTACATTTAACCAGTCATGTTCTCCTTTTCATTGATTATTACATTCACTTGTGTGGTGAATTTGTTAATGTGTCTATAGTCTGGCAGCTTGAGGCTCTTTCTCATCCACTCTGTTAAATCTTTTTTGGTTTGCTTTTCTATAAGATCTACCTATTTTTTTAACCAGTCATCAATATAATTACATACATATAGAACATGAACTATATAGAAAACAGAAAATGTGTATCATATGATTTCATACGTTTCTTAATTGTATGAAAAAGTTGAAATGACATTTTGGGATACATTCATCAAGTACTTCTCAAAAGTTGTACTGCATTCACTAATAACGTCCATGTCCAGTCCCCAATCCCCATTGACCATACAGTAACAGCATAGTCAAGATTAAATTCTGGGAAACTTCCCCATGAGCAGAGTGGAATCCTATTAGCATCCAAGCATTAGTATCATGTACTAAAGGAAAAAATTATTTGTATGAATTACTGCTTCGAAAAATCGTATATTGGGTCCTCCTCTACATCCTTAAAGCTCCAATTCTGTTGGGTACTTGTACTATCAGCAGTAGATACGTGTAAGACCTTTTTATGGTATTTGTAGAGGGTTCTACGGTGGCCAATACTTATATACGTGATTCCTGCAGCTTGGATTAGCTGATATAGACGTGCCTGCAGAGACAAAGTACAACAAAGGTTTTTCTATCATCTCCAGTTATTTAGAAGCAAACGCAAGGAAACAAGAAATAATAAATAGAGTCAAGAATTGGATATGTCATTTGATTGTCGAAACAAAGTCCAACGTTTTGAGAGGAGAGATAGCAACAGATGTTCATATGGTAAAATTTGAGGTTTCATATGTTACTGCAGAAGATAAAATGATTTTCAAATGTTGACTACAATTGAAGTGCATTTTGAACCTAACATTGCTTCAGATAGTAAATTTCAAAGCTTAACAGACCTAGCAGCATTTCAAAGGACAAGAGGAGGTGGAGTGTTTTACCTATCATGGAGTGGAATATTAGCCTTAAGAACGGAGCGTAAGCCCACAACTTCTTTTTTTTATGTACTAAGAAATAAAACTAAATTTAAAAATAGCATATATATAAAATTCATATTAAGTCACTATTTTACAAACCACTGAGAATTATATTCTTTAGAAAAGATATAAATACAAATATATTATATTAGTCAAATATCTTCTTTCTTTTTAAAAAATTAAGATTAGTGCAGGAAACAGATTAAACAGTCTCCCCAGGGAGCATGCATTTACTAGGCAAATGTCCGACCTATGCTAGCATTAGCCAATTAGACTTTTACTTCCCATAGTTGTCTCGGGCACTTCGAGCTTGCCTCACACCAAGGCAAGCTCGCGAGTTACCAACTCCCCTTTTTAGAACGTTGGAATGAGGTACTTTAAACTTTGTGACTTATTAAGCCTGTACTGACTAGTGACTAGCAAGATTTATTAGTATATGATTCCAGCCTGTATGGACAGAGACCTATACCTGAGAAAAGTGAAGTGTACTAATCTGAAATCTGAATCAATGCAATCCACATGACTAAATGAACTACAAAATAGGACAGCAAACAAAATAGCATCTGCAAATCATTAAATTACCTCATTGGCTTCATCAAGAGCACTAGTAGACTCATCCAACAGAGCCAAAGTTGGTTTTGAAAGCAATAAGCGGCCAAAGGCAAGGCGCTGTTGCTCGCCAAGGGAAAGAACGCTCGACCACTCATGTGTTGAATCTAGGCCGTCAAAACGAGATAACAAGTGTCCAAGGGATACATCATTGAGAACTTGTAGTAGATCCTCTGATGTAGGCTTCTTTGATCTTTCATTCACACACCTTGCATCCCGTGCACGCATCAAGAATGGAACAGAATCTGTATATTGTCAGTTGGAGAAATTTCACCACACAGAATCTTTAAATAGCATTCTTCCAACAGGTAAAACGACATGGGGACACCACATAGAAATCTACATGTAAGTATATTTAGGAATCGGATATAAAGCAGTTCACATTGTATAAGAGCCAAAAGAAGTGAATCAACGCATAACTAAGCAGCAAGTGCCAACAAAGATGAGCCATATGAGGAATGACAACCTGTAATGAGACTGAGAACTTATAAGGCGTAACAATGGCATAAGAAAATGATGTTAAGCTATGGATCATAAGATGTCATACCACTTTGTTTAGCATCATCTGACAAGTTATCTGAATCTTCGGTCCATGTAGGATACAGCAACTGTTGTCGAAGGGTTCCCAAAACCATATATGGTTTTTGAGGAAGAAAAATTACGCCTTCAAAATTTCTACGTCCTGTGGAATCCCCTATGGTCTCATTAGTTGAAGTCACTTGATAAGAAACTACATCTGGAGAGTGCAGCATTTCCAGGTCTCCTCTAGGTCTGACATAAACTGTAATTGCTCCATTCCCGAAACTCCAAAGACCAGCTATCACTCTCAGCAATGAAGTTTTACCACTTCCACTTGGTCCTGTAACCTGTTAAAAGAACCATTAGCAGAAACATTTGAAAGGGAGATTGGTATTCATCTAGGGGCAAGGAAGCTGATAAACACCCCGGCTGTCAAAGGGGGAAACGCCTCTAAAACTGGAGTATTTGTTCCATGCACGTTTTACACCTTGAGCTATTTGCTCAATACACCCCAAGAACGCCTATGCACGCTTTATACCATAGATTGTCCACTTCTTTCCCATAAAACATTTTTTTCAATTTGTCCCATGTATAATATATTGTATTGTTCATATATTATATTGTTAATTAAGAAGTTGGAGACTTTGAATAGTATTATGTGCACATCATATGTCTAGATGGTTAAATCGATCATTGTATCTATAATTTTGTAAAAATAATCTCTTGCTTACCAAATTCCTTTTAGACAGATGAATATGGTGTGTAGCTTGATTAGGTCTTACAATTCTTCTCTTAATGGTAGAACAAAAAATAGCAAAGGATCACTCATTACCTTAAGCAAGTTGCGGAGTCCTAGACTATTGCTTTAAAGACAGGATGGAATATTAACAAACAAATTTGTTGACCTTATACGCCATGCTTCAGGACTTGCATTCTGCCTGTGATGTGTAAATATGCATCACCCTAGGCCTTCCCTCCTCTTAATATATTAATTGCCATTAACAGTACAATTTTTCCTTTCCCTAATAAAGCAACAAATGACATAAAAGCTGAAAGTGGACATGTCAGAACTCACCAGCAAGTGATCCTTCTCAAAAATCTCAAAAGACAAGTCCTTAATTAGAGTTGCTTCACTTGGTGTCTGTACAGTCAAGTGTTCAACATGAAGTAATTTTACACGCTTGGAAAGAGGCATAGATCCATTTGAGTGTAGCCCATTGGAAGAACTTATTAAGCAAAAGTTAAGTTGGATCTTTTCCTTGGAGTCTTGATCACCTTTTTTGCTGTTGCTATCCAAAACATCATCAAATTCACCTGCACATTTTAATGGTGTCAAAACGGTTTGCTGAATGCTTATTACTGCTTTAGGGCAGTGGGTCATGTTAGACGGAAATAGCAAAACTGGGGAAACTAAAAGAAGAAACAAAGTTGAAGAAAATAAAATTTCAGGGAAGAAACAATTGAAAAGTCATTGAACTTAAAACATAATATGACAAGAGACAAGAGAATGAATTTAACATCCTCTCTCAAGCATCTTATAGTGGCAAGCAATTATAGTTTATATATATTAACTACTGAAGACCTTACGAGCTCAGCTTCTTTTATTCAAACATTTTAGTTTTCCTATTCCCATATTATCTTCATAGTACATCATAACCATGCTATGTGCAATCCCAGTAATGATTCAATATTTCTTCTTGGATTCAAGCATAAAGTTTGATTTACTAGGCATTTTCCTCAGCACTAGTCCTCAATTCTTAATACTAGACTTCCCCACCAAATGGTCCTAAATTGCTAATTAAAAGCAGTTAGCCACATTATTAACATCGTTAATGTCATCATTTTGCATTCCCAGAATTGAAGGCATCCACTTTCTGCTTTAGCTCGAAAGCAAGCTGGCAACGCTATCAATTTTCTGTACCTTTGCCTAGTACAGATATAAGGGAAAAGGCTCAAATATGCTATTGAACTTTGAGAAAAGGCTCATCTATGCTATCCGTTAAAAGTTGGGCTCACCAATGCCACAGTCGTTCAACAAAGTGCCCATTCATGCCATTATTTTTTAACGCTCCGGTTTGATGATTTTGCAAAACCATTTTTTCCATGTGGCCTCTTATCAAAGGTCCACGTCACCAAAATTAAACCAGCCAATATTAATTATTCCCACCAGTATCAATACTTCTGCTTGGGTATCTCTTCAGAGATGATGAACTAGGAGGAGATGGTGAATCAGATTCCCCGTTGATGACCAATATCGGCACAAAATCTGCTAGTAGAAGAGACGGAGGATAAGGATTCTGAGGTGGCGGAGCAGTATGAACAACAAGTAGATCCAATGACTTCAACTGTGAATTTTTTGGACTTAAACTCACCAGCAGAGAAATGCTCAGCGATAAAGACCTAACTGGTGAGCCCGAAGCGGAACTGGAAGACGAGTATGAAGAAGATGAGCTCGACCCACCAAAACTCTTCACCTCAATGGAGGTAAAAGCCCTACGTGACGCCGATCCAGTTCCAATCAAACTTTCTCTGCCATTTAAAGATTCTCTTGGAGGGTAAAACTCCTCATCGTCTTCAATTCTACAGGAGACTACATCTGCATTCCATGATTTAGCCTCAAACTCTGTCCATGTAGTGGTGCCAATGAGTGGATCTCCAGCGAATCCATTTTTCTGGAGCCGCGGCAGTACCAACAGTGACTCCATTAATTTGGTGGCGTGAACCTCTAATAAGAGCCCACATGGAAAAATGGTTTAAAACCATCAAACCGGACCGTTAAAAAATAATGAGATGAATATGCACTTTGTTGAACGGTAGTGGCATAAATGAGCCCAACTTTTAACGAATGGCATAGATAAGCCTTTTCTCAAAGTTTGATGGTATATTTGAGTCTTTCCCCTAGATAAAATAATAAAAAGGCAGAAATAAATGGCTTCAATAAGATTATATGTTGCCGTTACAAAACAATAGAACATAAATTCAAACTTGAAGAGCATAACTTGAATACATAGATGTGTTCTTAATTGAAATATCACATTTGAGAAGAATCAATCATCAAATCGCAATGGATATTAAAAAAAATGGACTGTTTGGTAACTTTAACGTCTAAGATTACTTCGTCACTTAATAACACAAAAAAAAAAATAATAACAGAAATGTTTGAGAAAACAAGACAAAATGGAGCAGAAAAGAACTTTGGGCTACAAAGATTACTTTATCACTTAAGACAAACACAAGAAAAAAGAACTAATGACCAATCTAGAAACTACACAGCAAAGGCCAGTTCACAGTCAAGGTCTTGCTACTGGGACCTCAATTCTAACCAGATAGCAACAGACACAGACACAGGGCATTGGAAAGCAATATGGAACGCCAAAAGTCCACCCTAAGTGACTTGTTTTCGTTGGCTAGTATGCAGGAAAGCTGACCTCACCAATGAAGCACTACAAAAAAGAGGATGGCAGATTTTTTCTAAATGTTTTATGTGTGAACAGAAAGCAGAAGTCAACAGTCATTTGTTTCTACATTGCAATACTGCCACAAGCCTATGGAACCGTTTCTTGTGCATATTAGCCATTAGGAGTTAGCAGATTGATGACCAAGACAACCTTGGAGTTGATGAATCACTGGTCAGGAGTAGGCAAAAGAGGGAGACAAAGAAGATTGGTGGAAGACAATACCAGCTTGTATATGGTGGACTCCGTGGAGAGAAAGGAATGATAGGTGTTTTGAAGATCAGAAAATCAACATACAGAAGATTAAGATGAAGTGTATAAGCCTTCTATTTTTTTGGTGTAAACAAGAGTTGGTAGGGAGGACAGTAGATTTAGTTGATTTTAAAGGAAACTTGTAAAAGTACCCAAATGGGGGTGGTGCTCACCACGCTGTGGGATGTAAGTTTCCAATTCATCATTTTTTGGATGATGAATTTTTTGTGTGAAACCAAATTTACCCTTTTCTCAAAAAAAAAGAAAAAGAAATGCCTGAGAAAACAAGACGAATGGAGCAGAAAAGAAACGTTGGGATAGAATTGCAACTAGCATTTTGGGTTGGCTAGAGAGAAATCAAAGATATTTTGAGGTAAAGATGTCCATATTCACACTCATAGAACAAGTACCTATTCTTTCTGGTTTATGGTGAAAAAAATAGATGTATATGAAGTTATCGCTCTATCGCAATCCCTCTCCCTTCATTTATAAAGGGACATTGAGCTTTTGCATCATCAGTACTTAGAACCTTCTTGGTGCTACTTCGGTGGAATAACATATCTTACTTGTGAAAAGAAAAAACACACAAGTACAGATCAAAAAACAACTAGGGAAATTGTGGTGGGAAAACAAGAAGTTCATAATATAAAATGGATATAGTATCACAGTCCTTGCCCAAGCAGGAGTTGCAAAAACATAAAACACATTGATTCAAAATCTGCAACCAACTAGCTTTTAACCCTTGTAACTCCAACTGTTTTGGTTCTACGCAGCTGGGACAGGCTAAAGCCTCATCAACCAGAAAAAAAGAACGCCTTAATCCCAGAAAAAGAAGCTGGGATCAACTATATGAATCATCAATATCCATCCTTCCATTTTTGCCTGTCACATTTCAACCCTTATCGATTAAATCGTCATAAATCATGTGACCCACCCAACCCCAAGGGTAGTTAGAAAAGACCAAGACAAATGTCACATTTCAACAGTCTCATGTAGGATGTATGATAATTTTTTGTGGGTGACAAGAAAGTAAGGAAAGACCTCTCTTATGAGAAGGTCAAGTTTCTCAAGTAACTTAATCCCATGTTATCCGACATCTATAAAAAGCCTACAAGTAATACAAATTTTGGCAATTCCAAAGGTCAGAGTCTAGGTCTAAAACAATCCCTTTTGGCACTAACAGAAAAAACTAGTAACATTAGGCACTTGAGATGCTAATTGGGTTGGTCAGACAATCAACACAGTAAAATAAACTATGCAGAATGTAAACCCTGTGTAATCAAAACAAAGTCACGTCACGTCACATCAGCAAAGAAAAAGTCAAGATCCTCCACATTGCCAGATATTCACGTATATTCCCTCCCTCCAACAAAATGGATCGACAGATGCTCCTCTAAGGGATTACATTTAATAACAGTATATTCAGTAAACCTTTTCCATGTACTTGGAGAAGAATGCACCATCCAGAAATAACATACCTAGTCGGTCAATGACGGCTGAAAAGGCACTTAAAGCCTGAAACTGATAGACAATGAGAGAGAAATCACCAAGAATATGATTGAAAGCGGACACGGATTGATTAATAACCCCAAACTCGATTTTTCCAGAGAAGTACATAGGTGCAACAACTGCGGCAGGAAGAATTTGAATAAGATAGCGGTAGCCACTGGTGAAGAAATCCAGATTTCTAGAAGATATCAACAATTGCTGCCAAATTATCAAAAGCAAGAGAATCAATTTTGAAATTCACTAAGAAAACAAATATATAATTAAAGAACATACAGCACTAAACATTTTCAAAATGCATCAACATGTATGAAAGAAAGTCAATAACGTTCAAAGGGAATACTAAGATAAGGTATATGGAGTTAGTTTTTTTGCTTCTGATTAATTAGAGATGATGAGATTGCAAATCTCATATAAAGACACAACTCAAATAGATCACTCCTTTGCTTGCATCACAGCGCATCCTTTAAAAGATTCTAAACTACCCTTGAAAATGTGATCTACTTAGAAAAAAAATCCTAGCTGGCAAAAGCACAAGGCAATTAAAGGGTCAATATGGTGACAAGAAATCAGAATGCATCCTTTTGCTGAAGAAAAACTTGGAAGCATCCGTGTGCCCAGATAGAGAAGAAACATTACAGAGGATTCATACAACTCCCAATTAGTTCGGGAGTGAAGCATAGTTGATAGATGTAATAATGTTGAGAACAACAGAATAGATGTATTAATAGTTGATAAATGCTGGGTGGGGATTGACTGTGAAGAGTCTCAATTTTTACAAATATGGACGTACTCTCAATTTTTTCATGTTAAACAAAATGGAACTTACTCCCAACAAGGTTATATAAGTTTAGACAAACTGAGATCAAAAAGAAAAGAACTTACAACTTCTTCACCTAATAATAATATTGGTCCTCAGACAACCCATTATTCAGTGTGTGACATAAAACAACTTTTTGCAACAGAAGTAATATAGGAACAACTGTTGAATCACAAATGTGACATGATATGCTTCAATGCAGGCAAAAACTGAGAGAGGTGTAGCACCAAACAAACTGTTAAGGTCTCCGTACATTCAGGTTTTCAAAAGCGCTTCTGAAACGACTTAACAGTAGTTGCATCTCATTCTCTTCCCCTCCATAAAATGCAATTGATTCAGCATTTTCTCGAACGCGCACAAGACCATAGCGGAAATCTGCTTCTTTCTTCTCTTGCAAAAAGTTGAGGCTCACCAATCCCTGAATAAACCACAATTCCCATCATTTGTAGAATTCAGAAACATGTCTTGCAACTTAGAAGTTCTCTAAATGATGTATTAGTTTGAGGTTCAACAGAAATATGAAAACAGAAAAAGCACCTTCCCAAGGAAGACGCTGAGAGCTGTTCCACCAAGTGAATATGCAAGAAGCACCCCAAAAAGTGGTGGGTAGATACCGAACAAGATATTGCTAAAAGATATTAAGTCTATAGCAGCATTGAAGAGTGTCAATGAAAATGACAGAGCTGTTCCTGTAAAGGAACTTAAATCGTCAACAATTCGCTGATCTGGATTATCGATGGTAGACTGAGACTGAATTTTGTAAAATGTCTTATTCTTCAGATACCGTTCCATGTAATAACTCGTCATCCAAGATCTCCACCTTAAAGATAACTTCTCTCGTGCATAATCTCTCAACACGAAAAACTGCAAAATACATAAAGCTCAAAAACTAGAAAATGTACTATAAAAGAAAATAGAAAATTGGTGGCAGGGAAGTAAAGGTCACAAGACCTCATTCCGTTAAGTACACATGCATATATATAGTGTGATAAAAGGTAGTGGTCCTTCTGGAGAAAGTTTCAAGGTATACTTTTTACTGATGACATGATACTCTTTTAATCTATACTATCACCACTGTGTCGTTTACAATGAAACAGAATGCCAAGTATCCAAACTAGGTTGCAAAAAATTTGCAAAAGACTACGAGGAGCTATACCTAAAAAATATGGAGCAATGAGCTCACCGGGATACCACCAGCAAAACCAGCAAGGTAGTATAACAGTTGTTTGGTGAACTGTTCTTGGTCTTTGTCTTCACAAAGTTAGATCAATTAAATAATTAGTACAACAAATTCTAAAACAAAACCAACAAAAAACGAAAAAATGGGGAAAGAATTCGTACTGGCAAGTGCATTATAAAAGTCACGGCCGAGGAAACTGAAGCCAACGCTAATACCAGTGGTTCCTAAAGTAAGGGCAAAAACAGCAGCCAACTGCAATCTCGCCTGAACTTTGTCATCAGAGGACCAATACGGTACAGCAACCTTCCAGAACCTCCGCATAAGTGATTGAAGATCCGGTGGCTTTCTTTGCTCATCCTGATTATTTTTAACAATATATCGATTTAAGGCTCTGGATTATGGATAATTTCAGATCAGGAAAAAGGAAAAAGGATGAACCTGAATGGGTGGTGGTGGTGGTGGTGGTGGTACTTGCGGAGTTGTTGTTGCTGCTGTTGATAATGAAACTCGTCGTCGAGTGGTCAATGTCTGAAACCTTAAGGATGAGCGATGACTGAACTTCGAATTGCTATCCAAAGTGCTAACAATATTAGGAGAGACGTTGAAGAAAGGAGATTCTACAACTAGTTTTGCTTGGGTCCCCATTGATAGAGGAGCTCTGTTCTTCTACTTGCTATTTCTCAAGCGCACGCATTCATTGTATTGCTTTGTCAGTTTTTCTTATCCAAAATAGCCTTTGATTTGCGCGGTCCATATGAAATTTGCAGCTCTTACGCCACTTGTTAAATCACCGCAACATTGAATTCCGATTAAGTTTAATATATCTAATTAAAAATCAAATAGTTTCAATCACTGTATCACGTGTCTTAAGTTTGCTTTTGTTAACTCTACATTTTTTTAGTAATGATTTTCGAGTTATCTATGAGTAGATCTATTTTGGTCCTCTCTAGATATAATAATTGTAAAGTGGAGCACTTTTGATCCAATTAATATAATAAACTTAAAATTAATACTTCCTCCATTTCATTTATGTGGCACCATTTCCTATTTGGTCAGTCTCAAAAAGAATGTCATATTTCCTTAAATGGTAATTATTTAAAGGTACAATTCTTCTTTTATCCTTGTTGGTCCCACTTAATCTTAAAAATAGTATTTTAATATATTTATGAGGAGAGAGAAAAGTGAGTCTACTTTTTAATATGATTACTTTTTGAAAGGGCAATTTAGTAAATATTTTAAAGTCTTCATTTATTTCTTAAACTCCGTGCTCAGTCAAATATTGTCACATAAAATGAGACGGAGGGAGTAGTGATTATCAAAAAAACATTGTAAAAAATAATTGGCTTTTGGATTGATGGAAAAAATTAATTGAGCTAAAAATCGAAAAAGTAAAAGTTGATAGAGCTCAATCGACTTTTTAGAAATTAAAACATAATTTTAATTTTTTTAGGAAAATGATTAAGCTCAATCAATTCATTGATTGGTTTATTGAAAAGTTTGATCAGAATTTTGATCAAGTTTGATGGGTTTCTTGGTTATCTTTAAGTAAAATTCGTCTTGTCTAGTCAATTATATTTAAAATATCGCGAAATATCTAATCGAATCGATCGATTATTTTCATATTTTTTATAGTTACTGTTAATTTTTGCCTTAAAGGCTTTCATTAGGTCTTATTTGACTTCATTCAAAACTGGTTGTGTACCGATCAAGCTTCCTATTTTGTATCCTCAATAAAAAAAAAAATTGTTTTTGAAGGTTTCTCCTTTATCATCTCCGGTAAATATACATCCGCTTCAATAATAAATACAAATCATATAACTATTGTTTGACTCCCTATAAATAATCTTCTTGGCATTATTTAAGAAGACTCTTTTTTCATAAGTGGAAATTTTTTAAAATATGATTTATAACAGATTTAAGGTAAACAAAAAGGCAATAAATCAATTATGAACGGATATTCTTAAGTGAAATCTGAAGTAACTTTTTGGAAACCTACTCTAGCTTGAGGTATTTAGCTCCTCATGGTTCATTTTTTTGATTTCATGTGTCTTAGTCATTCTCATGTTTCCTCATGTATGCATGCACATGATGAAAAGTCTAATTTTTTTGAAGATGTGATTTAGCTCAATTAATTGCTTCATGAATATGTGCATTTGAGTATAAGTTGCATGTATGCCTTATGAAATAATGTTTTGAATATGTTTTAGTTTGGAGTCGATGTTCCTCCTTGGTTATGTGCATTTAGATGAAGTTGTATTCTTGTTAGATTATTAGTCTCTCTCCTACTCTTTTCATGCTAGTTGAGTTCCATTTGTGGATCAATATTCCCAAGGGAGAGATATTGTAACACCTCGAGCTTCAGAAAGGTAAAAGTGAGATAACGAGCAAGTCCACAAGTCTAAAACAGGACAGAGACCCTTCACGAGAACCTAAATAATCTGTTAGGACATCACTGGTTGTTTAAGGCAAGTGGGTTACTTGTTTAGGGTTTTCAGGACCCAAGGTCACCTGGACGGTCCCCTAAACAACTAGTATAGAGGTGGACCGACCATTTAGGGGACCAAGCCCAACCGTTTAGGCGCTGCCAAGAAGGAGGTCTCCTAGACGGTTCCCTATGCTGCTATTGAGGCCTTGTACGAACCGTAATCTTTCTTTTAGTTGACTCCATCAGTTTTTAAGTTAAGGTCATATTAGTCTTTCCTCAAAGTGTTTGGTACCTAAACAACGTCGTTTTAAACACTATTTCAAGGCCTATATAAGTGAATTAAGTCCTAATACTATCAATTCTAAATCATTCACCAAATTCATAAATTGTCCTCTAAGATCACCCCTAAAATCCTCTCAAGAGCTAAGGAAGAAGAAAGCAAGGGTTTCACTTCAAGAACTTCAATTCACCATTGATTGTGGACATTCATCACTAAAGTATGTTAGTATTCAACCATGAAGTCCTTTCCTCCATAGGGTTCCTAAAATCTCGAATTTCACAAATTAGACTCTCAATTCAAAGTTAGGGTTTTATTCAATCTTAGTGGGTTCTTTTTAATTATGAGTCAATTGATTGTTTTCTATATTTTTATACATGAATTGAAGTAATTACATGATTTTAAGTAGAATTCATATGAACCCATGCATGATCCGTGATTTTTAGACTATGAACACATGATGAAGCTTATAAATTATGAAAGAAAAATTTATGAAGATATACATGTTTTTATGAAGTTGATGTAAATGATTTGAGGATGCTTTTAGAGTAAAGCATTTGGGCTGGGCATAAATACCAAAATACCAAACCGAACCGAATTATTTCGGTATTTCGGTTTTGGTATTTCAATTTTTGGTTTGGTTTTCGATTTGATTTTTTATATTTTCGGTATTTTGGTTCGATTTTCGATACGTAGATTTTGTTTTTTTCAGTATTTCGGTTTAACCGAAATATAATATATATTAATATTATATTAATTATTAATTTTAAATAATAAATATTTTATGCAAAATTAGGCTAGTTCTCAAATAATTTGAGGCAAAATTAGGTCAGTTTTTTTCAAACGCCGCACGTCAAGTAGGTCACCTTTCAGTTTTCCCTCGGCACTTTCCCACTTTTGACTCCGACCAGCGACATCAAGGCAGCGACCAGAAGCAGCAGGCCAGCAGGCGACTGGCGACCAATAGCATCCGACCGGCGACTAGCAGCACTGCAAATAATGTATTTGATATTTTGTTTTCAAGATTTCTTATGTAGTTCTTCCCTAATAAAAAACTAAACTAACAAAAGTCGAATCGAAACAATACAACTGAATCGAAATAATGAAAAAATCGAACCGAATCGAATCGGTTTGGTTCGGTGTTTGGTACACTTATTCCAAGAACTAAAAACTAAAAAATCAGGAAAAAAAACTGAAACCGAACCAAATTACCGAAGGCCCAGCCCTATAAATTAAAGCATCAGCGTTGTTGTGTAAGGTTTTCTCATATACAACTAAGAACATGATTGTAAGGATTTCTCACAAAAAGGATTCATAAGGTTGAAAGGTTTTCTCACCTAAGTTAAATCAAGGTAATGATCTATTCTAAATGAACTCTAACTTAAATTGGTTGCTTAATTGGACCTTTTCATGGATGATGATGTGACTATGATTAATGAATACTCTGTGGGAATTTACTTAACATCGAGTGGAATAGCAACAATTACCCATTTCCCGTAAACTATGTGCCACCATGGGATGATTGTCTCAATTAGACATAAGCTAGTGGATCCACTTTAGCTCAGATTCATTGTTCTTACCTTGGCAAGTAAGGATATCCCTTTTCATTGTGGGACAGACACTGCATTCCATGTTATAGCTCACATGGTCTATGTCGGTTACATAGTAAACTTCCCATAATAATGAACTAAGGTTATTTTATGAAAGTATATCACAAGTGTTTTGAAGATGTTGTGTCTGCATTAACCATGATTATGACTTATGTTTTATAACCTCTTATCTTACGATTTAGCTTGGTCATTGCATGTCATGTAAAGTCCTTTTAGCATGATTTCATAACTCTTTTGTGTTGCTATCATACTATGTACATTCCATGTACTAATGCATACTTGCGCGTACATTATTTTACTAATGTAGTGTCCGAGACTCCTATTTCTCACACTCGTGGCTAGTTGATCCATTTGCCACTTGAAGGTTAGTGAGTCCTCATGTTTCAAGGACATCGACACTTTTATTTCTTTCTTTATTTCAGTTTTCAAACTTTGTATGTGATGTATGGGTTACATCATAATCACTTTTTTTGATATAATATATGGCTTATTTAGACTTATGTTAGACTTTTGCTTTTGTCAAACTCTTTTATGATATAAGACTGTTTCTTTGAAATTTTTATTTCTATTATCTTGTATGATGTATGCTAAGTCGATTATGTAGGACTTTCGAGGTTCTATACGTCATGTAACGCCTATGGTATACTTTGGATCATGACAATTTGATAGATAAATATATTTTTTTACCATATGTCTCCACTCTTTACTCTTTATATATGACATTCAAAAGACATATATATGTATAAAATGAGTAAATTGGACCTCTATTAGATAATTACGATATAATTTAAGCTATATATATATATATATATATATATTGTGTGTGCGCGTGCGTGCGTGCGTGTATATATATGTATATATATGTGTGTGTGTATATATATATGTATATATATAAACTAAAGACCTATTAGGACATTTTATTAAAATGAACAAACTATACAAAGAAGTGGCCCAAAGTGTCCATATAACCTAGAGAGAAATCACAAACAATCATCAGAATTGACAATGAAATCAAGTCATCCTCGCCGACATTAAAGGTAATGCTTTCTCCATTTAGCTAAGCAATCACTTAATTTAAGTCAGAAAATTCCCTTATCCTCGATTGTTGCTTGTTCGTTAAAAACTAATAAATGTCATATGAATTCAGAAGCTTCTTGCTCTGCCTAGAAAGTTGAAGGTGAAAGTTCAATGTTAATCGAGCAAAGCACATTGGCGTGATAAGGTAAATCTTCGTGAACTTATACACTTTTCTAATATGGAGCTTCAATAGTGTGTGTGCGTGCGTGTGTGTATATATACGTGTGTATATATAAACTAAAGACCTATTAGGATATTTTATTAAAATGAACAAACT